CTTGGAGTTCCCTGTTTGGGTCCCCATTGTAGTCCCTAAACCCTAAACCCATAAACCCATAAACCCTAAAACCCTAAACCCTAAACCCTTAAACCCTAAACCCTAAACCCTAAAAGCCTAAAGCCTAAAGCCTAAACCCTAAACCCTAAACCCCTTAACCCTAAACCCTGGCTCATTCTCCGAGGCCTCCGTGGGCATTGTAGGGGCAGATGTCGAGCGCCTGGCCAGGGAGGGCCTTCCAAGGCAGCCTTCGCATGGTGCGGAATAGGGTTTTGGGGTTTAGGGTTTAGGGTTTAGGATTTAGGGTTTAGGGTTTAGGGTTTAGGGCTGGGTTTTGGGTTGGGGTTATACTTGGCCACAGCTCCTCTTTGATTCGACGTTCCCGCGATACGTGCATGAAGGAAAGCCACACAAAACTGAACTTACTGCGAGTTAGTAGGGAACAAGGAAATATATCATAGGTGGATTGAATTCCCCTGTTCCTTACCAATCCTAAAGCCTCAACTCTATGATACATTCCCTAATTCCCTACTAACCCTAAACCCTATATGTATGCATCAATATTTGTATGTATGTATATGTATACATATATATATATATGTGTATATCTATATATATATATGTATATTTATATGTATATGTATACATATATATATAGATATATATATAGATATTCATGTATTCCCTTATTCCCTACTAACCACCGGTAAGATTCAAGGGAATCTACAGAGGCGGGGTAGAGCTTGCGAGGCTCCAGGAACGAGCTTTGGAGGCCGCTGGAGCCCGTGTAGTCATAGTCCTTGCCGCGAACTCGGTCTCTAAGCTTATAGTCCACCTTAAGTAGATATGGGGATCTCATTATAATATACCCAAAGAAATGTTCTATCTACTTGAGGGGGCCTATGAGCTTAGAAGTCTGGTCCCTCAGGCCTCCTAGGCGAGTTTAGGGTTGGGGTTTGGAGTCGGCGACCCTTAAGAGTACGTGTAGGGTATATTGTAGGTACATAAAGATCCCAGGGTGAAGGGCCCATACATCTTCACGATCATCCACATCTGAATCTCAGGTTGTGGGTGTCAACGACCTACGAAGACTCCGGTGCCAGGGGACAGGGTTCTAAGAACTTACTGGCTGCTAGCTGCTAGTAGGGAGATAAGGGAACATATGATATAGGGATGATAGAGGCATTGTATTCCCTTATTCCCTACTAAGAACCAGTAAGAGGCTACATCACAGATTCCGGGTATGGTGCGAGGCTCTCATACCGTCTCCGGCTGCGGCGGCTGGTGAACACCATCGGCGGACTTGCGAATGCGGCGTAGTTGCAACGAAACCCTGCAAGCTCGCAGCAGTCAAACCCAAAACCCTAAACCCTATATAACCCATTATAGGGTTTAGG